TAAAAAAAAAAAAAAAATTACCTTGGAGAGGAATGCTTTGAACTTGGTGAAAATCAACGGATCCATGAGGTCCCTTATTACCATTCTGGCCATGATAAATCCAATACATCTGCACACACATTTTGAAGAAGTACTATGAATAGATTTTGATAGGTCAACCTCAGAAAAAAAAGTATGTTTAGCATATACTGAATATAATACCTCATGTCGAATGCAATCATCATGTTCCGCCTATCCATGTACCCATCCAATTTGCTACCATCTGGATTGCAGTCAGCAAAATCAGCCGCATTTCCCAATATCCCAACCTAACATGGGGCAGTTGAAAAAAATTAAAGTAGAAAGCGGTTTGTATACAAAGTAAAAGCACCAAGTATACAAATATCATACTTTGATATGTCTATCCACAGGGCTGATATGCAAAGTCTCAATTCTCAACTCTGTATGCGCAAGTCCATGGCTGTGCAGGTAATTCACCTGATGTTTACCCATAGAAAAAAGTAAATTATTTTTCTGATCACTTTAGCGAAAGAAATACAAATGCTTATACTGAATACTATGCTCAAAAACGGAAAATAAGAAAATCACTACAGCAGAAAGACATACTCCTATCAGCAGATCTCGCATTAAAACCCGAATAAGCCGCAATAGTCGAGATACCGCGGGCCCACCAACCGTGTCATCGCCAACCCTTCTGATAGTCTCCTCGTCTAATGTAAGGGTCGCCTCAAGAGTTGGGAGCCAATCGGACTGTTGAAGCCAATGTCTCAAAGAAAAACTACCATGGTACTGCAAAATTAATTGTGAAAAGAATTGGATCTTCGGTTAATCCCAAATATCACGAAAAAATCACGCCCAACTCCAAAATGGACTTCACAGAGGATGCAATTGAGTATTTGACCTACTCCGTGAACAAGAATAAACGAGCCACTGTCGCCAGTTGTTGACGGGCACACATAGCCATGAACTTGCATCGAGTAAGAATGGTACATTATTCTACGGCTAGCCAGCCTTTTCAATACCTAGAAGAATAAGAGTCAGATCAAAAATCAGCATTCTCAGCAAGTAAGACGAAGAAATTAATCATTTTCAGCCATAAGTTTAACCTCTATTGCTCGTTTCCCCCTACGCTTAGCCTGAGTACTGACCAGCTGCCTAAGGATGACCCTCGTGTTAAACAGTGGACTGCGTTACTAGAAAGAAACTATCATCAACATCTAATCATTTATCTTTTCATGGAAAAAAAAATATCATTATTCGTCCTAACGATTTTCATAAACCAAAACAAAACCTGTTGGGGTCCTTCACTGTTGCTTCGAATACTACCTCATCACCCTGAATCATAGCCCAAATACAATCAACAATATTCAAGAACTCAATTCACAGGACAAGGAAAGAATATTGAAACATTTGCAATAAATGGAAGGTTTACCTTGTCCGCAAGACCAACGCTAACACGATCATGAATTTCGAAATCCGACATTTTAAACTTCATCACATGGCTTAAATCATCATCATCATCATTTCTGGAGCTGCTTGCAGCAGAATCCTCCTCGGATTCCAATTCACGAGCCACATTTCCAGCTGAAGCAAAGCACCCGACACGCAGTCTCCGACTCCCACGCCTCCCATTTCTCGAAAAAGACGACAAATCGACTCGCCTGCTCGAGAAATCGCCACAGCCCAATGATTTCGTAAACGGAGATTCCACAAACTCAAAGTATGCCCTCGAGAAAACTCCGACAGCCAGCGCCATCACGGATTATCCGATACAAATTTCTCGTAACTGCACAACAAACGATACACAAAATCATCAGGAAGTCAGTATTTTTATGAAACTCACCACCAAATCTCCCGAAATTCAAAATCAAAACATCTAGAGAATTTCACACAAAGTCGCTGCTAAAATCAAGCGAATTTCAGCTTCCGATCGAGCAAAAAAAAGGGGAAAAAAGGAAGAAAATGCACACAAAACCCAGCTGAATTTAGCCGGACCTGTTGGCCAGGTTCACTGCTCAACCAACGACCGCGACAGGAGAAACTGGAGGGGTGAGAGAGGGGGTTTGGTTGTATATAGACACGGCGGTGCGTGGCGGTTGCGTGCAAGAAAGCGGTTTAAGCGTTGCGACGTGAGCTCGCCGCATGTCAACGTCCCGTTTGCCTCTGCTTATACAAAATATCCACACCTTAACTGCACGAACTGTATAGGGACGAAACGTAGGTGAAATTAGAGAGTGGGAAAAAAATTATTTGGTGGAGAATAAAATAATTTTAAAATTATAAATGAATATATCAGAAAATATAAAATGAAGAAAACAGTAAATATAAATATGAATGAATAGCAAGATTTTATTAATACTACATATATATTGTTTTATATTATTTAGTTACATTGATGATAATATTGAATAATNCTACGAGATAAAAAGGAGAAAAAATATTATCCAATTGTAAAAAAATTGAGAGCCTAAAAAACTTGAAAATAAAAAGATATAAATATTTATATGATATGTTGAAACAAGTGTTAGCTTGAAGGATTAATAGTTTGTTCTAAAGTATAAATAATAATGCACATCTATTTGCAAAGAAGGGTATAATAGTCATTTAATTAATATATCAATTTATATATATCATCACATACGTACAAACCCTTGGAGTTGGATTTTTATTAGTGAAAAAGGCATTCTGTGTTATAACTTATAATGATAAACAAGTTGATTTCCTTTACCCAACCTTTTAAATATTTCTCCACAGCCCTAAATAGTACATGAAAACTTCTGCAATTGAATCTCACTAAATTGCTAAGAGACCAAAAGTGAGGTAAATCAATTTTCTTAATTTCTCCATATCATCTGCAGATCAAGAAATAATAAGTAATATTTGCTATGTTGATTTTGCAATTTATTTATTTATTTTGGTTGTTTCAGGTTTTTGGCTATGAATCTAAAGCTAAGACAGTTGAAGATCAGTAGAAGATGAAAGGAATAAACCACACAAGTATATCCATCTTTGATTCTGATGTTGGCTCAGTCTTTTCAGGTAAACTCAGTATTTGTGAGATATTTTCACAAACAATAAAGCTACGCTCATATAACCATATTTTTATACATATTTTCGATTAAAATGTCATACTCGAAAATATAAATATAAAATAAACAAAAATGAGAATATAAGTATACACTTTTTTTGTTTTTTACGAAAATAATTGATCTGCTCAGCGGATAGGCTACATTACTCAAAAATGTGTTTCACATATAGTTCTTGGGGAGTTATAAAAACAATATAAATAAAAGTATAACATATAAGAATATATGAATATGATATTCATGTTTATGAAGTATGACGGGTCGACTCATTTAACATAAAAAATAAAAATAATATTATATGAGCATGAGTAATGTAATGAAAGATGAACTTTAATTTTAGAGCACAGCACAAACTATATTTTATGGAAGATTAGCTTAACTTTAATTTTAGAGCACAAGCTATATTTTATGGTAGTGCGGTTAACATGTAAATTTGAGAGTAATTATTATTTGATATGCTTTATTTCCTTTCTCTTTTCTTTGTTATTTTTTTTTTTCGTGTTCTAATGCGTCCGTCAGTTGAAAAAATATCACAAAATATCACAATGATGCATAAATGCATCATTTTTTTCTATTTCAACACTCATATTATTCCTATCCTACAGATATAAAAAGAAAGATCATGTGCCTTTTCAAACAAAAAACGTCTCATTCATTTAATAAAATGCAAATAATT